ATTTCGATGGACGCCGCTCGGTCGCGACGTCACGGCGCCCTTCCAGTATTATGTTATTTACTACCCACGTCATTTACTATCTCAGCTTTTTATTAGATTGACATCATGTTACGTTGTTAGTGAAATATATATATTTGTAGGTACTTTAATAAATAATATAATGTATGTCTGTTGTGTGCTTGCTTTAAAGGTTACCCGAATCCCAAACACCGACATAACTATGTAGATAGTTGACGTATGTACAACTTACGTTACGTAAGGTATGTAAGTAAATGTGTTACGGTTTGAAGGGAAAAACTTTTATGTATACTACATACAGGAGTATATAAATATATAAGTCTTTGTTTAAAGGGTAAGGGACTCACCAGTAGTTTAAAGCCGATTGTAGGTGTCTATGAGCTGCAATACTCATTTACTAAACAGTGAATTGTTGGTTCGCCGTATAGTAGCGGCACAACTGCACGCCGTCAATGATATATCTTAAAGCTGTCAGCACCGTACGCGATGCACGTGCCGTACGCGCTGCACACGCCGTACGCGCTGTACGCGCTGTATTTTATGAAATCATAATATGAAACCTCGCACATTGTAGCCGCAACGTACGTGCCGTATTTTATAAAATGCGGTAGGTATCCGAATATTGAAGGAGGCATGCTGATGACGTCATATAATGCAGCGCGTTCAGTGCGTTTGTCTAATGTTGCCAACTTTGTAGATTTTCCACTAAAACTGGTTGTTTCGACTTTCGTTTCGAAATGTATTTTTTGAGTTCGTTGTATGAAATCATATGAAACCTCGCACATTGTAGCCGCAGCGAGTATTGTATATTTTATATAGGTTTTAGTATATGTAGCAATTTTTGAAATTTCTTGTATATCAAATGCAAATATCTGAAAAATCATTCCTCATCATCTAATAAGTCTTTAAATAAAGTATAATATTCTCCATACTACTGCCTTTTTAAATTAATATTGTGAATCCAGAATCTTCTTTTTTTGAATTTTATTTTCTTCTTATGCTAATAAGTAAGCTATTAAAACAATTTTTCTATAGCGATCTGAGCGATTCCGAGCGATCAATCTGACTGTACCGTTTCACATCAGTGGTTGAAAAAAACTGCAATAGTTGTTGGCAATACAAAATATTAGCGTACGGCGCGTACGTGCCAATAGCCGGATACCCACTTAGCGCATAGGCTCGCGCGGCAGCCACAATAGTATTGTCCGGAACTCAGAGGCATGCCTCGCGAGGCAGGTCGAGCCATCATAATTCCTCGAGCATCCGAAATAGACAGTTGTGTAATTACAGTAGCAGGTACTTTCCTAGTTGCTTATTGTTTAAAAAAACGAAAACAGTATTTTTGTTCCCACAGCATCTTGTACATACCATACAGTTGAATTAAACGATCGACTCATCCTGAATGCTCATGATATTATATAATTAAAATGACTGCAGTAAAACTAAAACAAACACTATAGCCTTGCGAGCCAATACCACCGTACACACCAAACGAACAGCGAACATTGAGGCACCTTTGAGCGCGTCAAGTTTACCGACAACGTATGGCTCGCGGTCGAGCGGCGCTCGGCCGAGGCAACGTGCGCCCGAGGCACGTTCACATCAGCTAAGGCATTGGCTCGCGAGGCTGCCGCGCGAGCCTGTGCGCTAGCCATCACTAAATGCAGTGTGTACGGTGCGTGCAGCGTGTACGCTGCTGACAAATATGCTTTCAGCTTTATAGATACGTTATATGCCCACAAAACCACCGAAAAAATAAGCCATCCCAACGGCAGCACACATAAACATTTTAATTTTTTACTTTCATTTTACTACAACATTCTCTCTCGCTCTCCGTGGCATTTGCCGTGGGAGTCGTAAGAGGCAACAGAGGAAAATAAAAAGAAAGATGAAGCAGCGTCTTCTTGATATCAACTTAAAACAATGAAAGAACTGTGGTTGCTAATCCGTCTAGCAAGCGTGGTAATATCCCCCCCCCCCCCCGTGTGGCAATCTGTAGGAGAAGCCTATGACCAGCCGTAGCCTTTGATAGACATGAATGAATGAATCAACTGTTAGCTCGATTGATTATGTAATATTACAAAAAAATTGTAAATAGCATTGCTGAAAAATACGACGTTTAGTGGAAGGCCTTAAATTTTACGCCATCTTGTCGACTATTATATGTGCATTCTATTTTTATACATTTGGACGCTTTTTTTGTACAAACAAGTATTTACAAGGTAAAGAGGGTCAGGCTTTTAAACCGTTCCACAATCTTATATCTCAAGAATATATCTCACATTTTCACTATTTACTATGTAATTCAATTTATAACATATATGGTCTGCATAAGAGCTCCATTATTTTTAATAAAATCTTTTGTTTACATAACATTCCAATATATTCAAAATGAAAAACCATAACAGAAAACTTAACACTAAAAACTTAAATTTTCATACTCTCCTACTCCCCGTGATTTCGTGGTAACGAACGCTGACTGCGTTTCCTTGCTGAATGGCTATACTTAGCCTTTGAACGAGAAAAGAACCAGTCATTTTCCACATGAACTCCCATTAAAAATAGAGAAAAGAAGGTATATCTTTCTTTCTTCTTTATTGGCCTGTTAAAGTTCACTGCTAAACATGGGCCTCTCCTGTAGTAGGGAAGATTTGTCTTTACCGTCACAATTGCCGTTCCAGTTATATCGTAACTTTGACACTGCTGCACATAGACGGTCTAGATATTTTACGTTTGACGTACATGATAAGGTTATGTTTTTAAAGCTCACAGAATACCAGCGTAAAATAGCAGCTTAATGCTGTTGTGTTTCGTCTGGTGAGTGTAGAGAACCGGAGGCCCTTTTTACTGGAAAAGAGGCATTCTATCTTAGTCCACACGGCTGACAACGTATCTGTATTTTAGTTCGCAAACAAAGATAGATGTAGATGTCTATGGGCCACAGCAACCACTTACAATCAGGCAGATTGTGTGATCGTTTGTCACCCTTATTTTATAAAAAAAAAGATATTTCAAGAGATTACAAATTATATTTAAACTAAAATATTAGTAAATCCAATTAGGCATACCTTAAGCGCATTAAAAAATTACGTATAACATGATTATACGGAATTATTAAAGCAGTTTAAATACATTCCGGCAGCACTATCGGCTTCAACACCCTCGAAAACCATGAAAATGACACCCATGATGAAAAAATTGGTACCTATTGCAGCCGCCATCTTGGATTTACATTTCGACAGCACTATCGGCTTCAACACCCTCGAAAACCATGAAAATGACACGCAAGATGAAAAAACTTGGTACCTACTTCAGCCGCCATCTTGAATTTACATATCGACAGCACTATCGGCTTAAACACCCTCGAAAACCATGAAAATGACACCCATGATGACAAAATTGGTACCTACTTCAGCCGCCATCTTGGATTTACATTTCGAAAGCACTATCGGCTTCAACACCCTCGAAACCCATGAAAATGACACCCATGATGAAAAAATTGATACCCATTGCAGCCGCCACCTTGGATTTACATTTCAGAAACGGAAACAGAAACAGAATTTTTTTTTATTCAATATAGATTATAAATAATACTTATTGAAAGTCACTCTTTTGTTTGATTACCACTGGTTCGGAATAAACCTCTGTCCTGGGAAGAACCAGCAAGAAACCCAGCGGGACTTTTTTTTAAATAACAGCTTACAATCATGATGTTACACAAATTAACAACACAACAAATTAGAAATAGCTTGGTAGCGATCACCTGATTTTTAGGGGTTATTATCATCCATAAATTCCTTAATATTATAATAATCCTTTTTATACAAACTTAGTTTAATAAAGTTTTTGAACTTTGAGCAGGTCAAACTTTTTCGACAGCACTATCGGCTTCAACACCCGCGAAAACCATGAGAATGACACCCGTGATGAAACAATTGATATTGTTACGAGCGTTCGAGACAATTAAAAACTGCCGATTGAATTACCAAACTTGACACTTTAATTATACAACACTAATTACATATCTAAAACCACACTAATAATAAAACACAATCACTTTAGTTCGCTTTTATTTCGCTTCGAAGTATTCTCCTGTATCGTCAATTCAATACTGCCCCGGTCGTGGCCTATACCGGCCTTATGTAGTGACCTTCTAATGTAGTGACATCTAGACTGTTCGAGTACATATCGGTCCCGAAATTTCTGGAAGGATCTCCTCTCCTAGTTCTGCTACTCGACACTAGAGGGTGCTAGTGTAACTAGTGTTGCCATGTACAAGACATTAATAGTGGCGCGCAATACTTTTATTTACTCGCCACTAGAGGGCGCTAGTGTAACTAGTGTTGCCATGTACAAGACATTAATAGTGGCGCGCAACACTGCCCCCTCCTAAGACATGCTCGTCCCGAGCATTATTGGCCCCATAATAACGCGCCAGTCGATCCACATGGACAATCTTAGGAGTACCTCTGGCACCTTTCTGTATCCGGTAGGTTACATCATTGATCCTTGTCACAATCCGGTACGGTCCGTCCCATTTAGCTTGAAGCTTAGGAGATTTCCCTTTGCTGCGAACTGGATTGTGTAACCACACTAGTGAACATTCATCAAGCCCCTTGCTGTTCATTTTGCGGTCATACCGTGTTTTCATCTTCTCAGACGTTTGCTGGCCCGTCTGTCTGACGTGCACATAAATGTCATTCATTTTGTTCCGCAAGTCATTTGCATAATCGGTTATACTGCGTGGGGCATCAGGTGGTATTCCGGTGATCAGGTCTGCAGGCAGCCGCAATTCTCTCCCAAAGTTTGCGAAAGCTGATGTCACTGATGTACTTTCGTGAACAGCGCTTCGATATGACAACAAAAACGGTTGTATGTGCCTGTCCCAGTCTCGTTGCCGTTTTTTCACAGCTTTTGCTAGGTACCTCTCCAATGTCTGATTAAATCTTTCTACAATTCCATCAGATTGTGATATCTCGTCTCTATATTATGATAACTCGGCAAGTTTCCTGGAATATTTGAGACTCAAAATTCCTTCCTTGACCGCTGTGAATCTCTAAAGGTACTCCAAAACGACAGAAGATTTCATGAACTAGTTTATCTGCAACTATTGAAGCTTCTTGATTTGGAATGGCGAAGACTTCTGGCCACTTAGTGAAGTAATCCATAACAACCATGAAATATTTGTTATCACTTTCAGTTTCTGGAAACGGCCCCGCAACGTCAATGGCTATCCTCTCCCATGGTGCACCAACATTGTACAATTTCAATGCGCCTCTACTACGAATTTGAGGTCCCTTTACAGCCGCACAACTTGTACATTTGCGGCACCAGTCCTCGACATCGTCACGACAGTGGACCCAGTAAAACCGTTCTCGGATCTTCAGGAGAGTTCGTTTAACTCCCAGGTGGCCTCCTGAAGAACTACTATGGTACAGCTGTAGAACATCCGGTACTTTAGCCTTAGGGACAACCATTTGCAAATGACACCTCCCTCCCATCTCCCTGACCATTTTCCCATTTACGGCACAGGACTCCATCCTGAATCAGCAAGCTGCCCCATTGGGCCCAATAGCTTTTCGTGGTCGAACTCATTGCTGAGACGTCGCTCCACTTGGGTTTAGGAGAACTGGCCTTCATCCATTCCAGAATCGGCTTAATGTCCGAATCTTCCTGCTGTGCATGTTGTAGGCTGTCCTTCCACTCATTGCTGAGCTGGTCTGTCCTGAGTATCCTCACAGATACCACTTCCTTACCCTTTTGCCTAGTACAACGCTTGCAATCTTCAGGACAAAGTCTTCTTGATAATACATCTGCGTTGCCATGAGATTTCCCGCTGCGCTGGGCGGTGCTGTTAGCCGCACTACCTTCTCGAAATCGATCACCTTCCCTTTCTACAGTTCACTTAGTCGATTCGGGTATCAGCTTCCGACAGGCGGTTGTCATGTTGAGCAACCCTATCCTTCACCTCTTTTATCTCTTTCCCGAAAGTAGCGTGAAGGTCCTTCCTGAGGAGCATCTGTTCTTCCATACCGCGCTGCAGCTGCTCTTCCAACCGACGGGTCTGTTCCTCCTGTCGGCGGGCCTGTTCCTCCTGTCGGCGGGCCTGTTCCTCCTGTCGGCGGGCCTGTTCCTCCTGTCGGCGAGCCTGATCCTGCAGCATCATCATCAGAGCACCTAAATCAGGTGCTACAGATGCAGGAGCTGCTGACGGGCCGGCCTCCGTGGTTAGCGGCTGGCCCTCCGACGTTTGCGGCGTTGCATTACCAAATCGTCTCTGGTCCGTCTCCTGTTGGCGTTGACTTCAGGTAAGGATACCCTCCGTGTCGTCTTTAGGTAAAATCGGCATATTTAATCCCCCAAAAAGGGGGGCGAGGCTGCTCCCGTCCGTAGGAAATACTAGAAATCTGACACCCTACACGTGCCCCCTGGGTAGTGCTAAACGAGCAGCACCAATTCCGACGATAGGTTTCAGCCGCTGGCTTTTCGGTTACGACCCACCAATGCAAAGTCTTGCTGCCAAATGACTTTGTCGTGTTCCAGCATGATGCTTGGTGAAGCCATATGGAGAATGGGTCTGAAGTCTAAACAGTAGCGTTGTGTATGTAAACCGGGTACGAAGCGTCAGTTGTTGCTGTGTCGGGTGCTTGGTCGTGGAGGTTAGCGGGATCCGAAGCACGGTGTTCCGCTGGCCGACCGCAGGTAGTTGGAGGCCCAATTAGTGAATTAGCTACTCATGAAAGGCTGCCCCGCCAACTGGCGAAAAATCCCAGGGTGGCCCCATCGTGCCGGTTAGCGACTGGGCGAGAGGACACGATGGCGATCTCTGGTGGGGTTCGGACGTCCCCGCAGTTTCCAGATCAAGCTCCCATGGGCACAGTAACTCTGATAGTATCGTTTGGTTGCTAATGCAACGCCTCGCTCAACTGCCATTCTCCATCCTTATTCACTCTCAACAATTAGTATGTACATAAAAAAGAAAAGTAGTGTTAAACAGCGGTTGCACGTCCTCTCACTAAAAGTGCACCTCACTAATATTCGAGGATTGCACTCTAATCTTAGCGCAGTCCATCACCATCTTGAGACAGAAAAGCCGCACCTACTTTTCTTTACAGATACGCAAATTTGATGTCCATTGAGTGCGGCGTACCTTGATTATCCTGGATTCTCCCTGGAGTACAAATTTCATCCACGTGCCGGAGTATGTGTGTACGTCCGCAATGACATCTGCTTCCAGCGTCTGTGTCACCTTGAAGACCACACTTTTTCGACAATCTGGGTGATGGTAGATACAGGTATTGATAAAATCCTTTATGCCTGTGTCTATCGATCGCACAGCGGTGACCAGGAGACAACACGATTATTTGATCACCTTAGTGAGGCTGCTGACGTGGCCTTGAATGACAATTGAAGGCCTGCACAGTTGGTCTTTCTGGGGGACTTTAACGCTTGTCACCATGACTGGCTGTTCCCATACCAAAAGACCGACCATGCTGGAAGAGAAGCGTGGAATTTTGCTTTGACGCTAGATCTTTCACAGATGGTAAACGTGGCGACTAGGGTACCCGATGTAGACGGTTACACAGCAAATTGCTTGGACCTTCTGCTGACTACCGAACCAGACAGATATGAAGTACAGTTTACTTCTCTTTTAGGTACATCTGACCACTGTCTGGTGAAATCTGTATCGTCATATTCTCCACCTGATTACGAGTCCCAAGGTGTTCGACAAATATGGCGGTATAAGTCAGCTGATTGGGATGAGATGCGACACTTTTTTTTACTTTTGCATCTTATCCTTGGCGGGAGGTTTGTTTCTCTTCTGCAGATCCGTCGAGCTTCGCGGTTGCGATAACGGATGTGTTGCGTCAAGCTATGGAGTACTTTATCCCCTTCTCTGACGCTCCCACCGGTAGCAAAGCTCGCCCACCGTTTAACGCTGAATGCGCCCAAGCTAAAAAGCGTAAGCATTTAGCTTACCTATCCTGGGTGACGCTCGAAACCGCAAAGCTCCGGATATTAGCTCCAAGAAGAGAACTTTCAACCAGACCGCCAAGTCCTACAAAAAAGCATTACGGAAAGCTAGTCTCGATCGCATTAAACATATTGGCGCAAAACTCTCTGCCAGACCATCCAGCACTAGAGCTTTTTGGTCTCACGCCAAAGCGGTCGAGACAAACTTCTGTCGGCCTACACTGCCTCCGTTGGTAAAACCGAATGGCACACTGGCTCATACGGCTAAGGAGAAAGCGGACTTGTTGGCGTCTCTCTTTGCCTACAATTCACGTCTGGACAGTGGCAACAACGTTCCACCAAAATTACCTCACTGCGGGACCTCTATGTCGGAGATTCGTATAACGAATAAGGAGGTTCTTAAAACCTTGCGGTATCTAGACGTGAATAAAGCTAGTAGACCAGATGGTATACCAGCTGTAGTCCTAAAGGCTTGTGCACCTGAGTTGTCTCCTGTGTAGACACGCTTGTTCCACCTCTCATTTAGTACTGGAATAGTGCCAAAATCCTGGAAGCTGGCCAACGTGCAGCCTGTTCCAAAAAAAGGCAGCCGTGCCGACCCTGCCAATTATCGTCCAATATCAATTAGCTCCATACTCTGCAAGATTATGGAGCGTATATTGAATGCCCGCTTAATGGCATACCTAGAACAGAATGACCTCCTTAGTGACCGGCAATATCTGTTTCGCCGAAATTGGTCAGCTGGGGACCTTCTAGCGTATGCCACACACGTATGGGGCGAGGCACTCGAGAACAGTGGGGAAGCACTTGCTGTTTCCCTTGATGTCTCGAAGGCATTTGACAGAGTTTGACACACTAGACTTTTGGGTAAGCTTCCAGCGTACGGCTTATCCCCTGGTCTGATTGAATGAGTAAAGGACTTTCTGAGTGAACGATCTCTCCGGGTCGTCGTCGATGCTGCTCATCCAATCCTATGGCGACTAACGCCGGTGTTCCTCAGGGGTCCATTCTCTCCGCAACTCTCTTCCTGCTGTATATTAATGATCTGCTTATGCCCGATATCTATGGGTATGTAGACGATAGTACAGTTGTTGAGAGATACCAACCAAGTCATCGGGCCAGTCGGGATCAAATCCAGTCCGAAAGAGAAGCTATGGTAGAGCGTGTGAATCTCACATTACAGGCAGTCTCCGATTGGGGCGATGCCAATCTTGTGAAGTTCAACGCCTCCAAAACACAAGCGTGTCTCTTCACTGCAAAAAGGAGCCAGCTCACCTTGGCTCCTTCTTTCCGAAATGTATCACTGAAATATACCGACCGCCTGCAGTTGTTAGGGTTTGAAATATCCTCAAATATGAACTTCTGGCGGTTCATTGAGTCCAAGGCCAAAGCAGCTGCAAGGAAGCTGGGAGTCCTTGCAAAGGTGCGGCGATAATTCACGCCGGAATAGCTACTTACTTTATATAAAGCGCAAGTCCGGTCGTGCATGGAGTATTGCTGCCATATATGGGCTGGTGCTGCAATATGCCACCTAGCAGCTCTAGACTCAATGGAAAGGCGTGCTAAGAGGCTCACTGGTGACCCGAATTTGGTTAAAACCAATCATACCAGCCCCGAACACAGACGTAAAGTAGCCAGCCTTTCGGTTTTCTACAGGATGCATTTCGGAGAGTGTGCGTAGGAATTACATAATTAAATCCACCCTCTCCCTTCCACCTTCGGACAACCAGACGTTCGGCAAGTCTCCACCTTTTCGTTGTTGACTTACCACGCATTCGAACCAAACGGTTCGTCACGTCGTTCATCATGCGTACAGCAAAGGAGTGGAATAAGTTGCCAGCATCTGTCTTTCCATCCGATTACAGTGTGGGTGTCTTCAAGGCAAGAGTGAATAGGCTTTTGGTAAGTCAGTGCACTTCACCATCTTAGGCTGCATCACCACTTACCATCAGGTGGGATCGTAGATAAGCGCTGGCTTAGTAAAATATATAAAAAAAAGAGCCGTGGTAGCTCAGATGTTTAGCGCTCGCTGTAAATTTCACAGTACGCGAGCAACCCGGGTTCGATCCCCGCCGGCACCAATGAAATTGTTAATTGCAATTTTAAGTGCTGATTTACCAAGTGCTCGGCGGTGAAGGAAAACATCGTGAGGAAACCTGCATGTCTGAAAAATAAGAAAAAAATCGAAGACATGTGAAGTTCGCCAACACGCATTGGGGCAGCGTGGCGGACATTTGCTTGTCCTAAAATCTCTCAGAAATGAAGGAAGGCCTGTGCCCAGCAGTGGGACGTAGGCTGTAACTTTATAAATAATTCTGTAAATTTTTGTTTATTCAGATAACCATAAGTGGGTGAAAACTGAATAAAATAGTAAAATATTATTTCATTCATACATTGATACGGGTTAGGCTATATATTAAAAGCGTGTACTTCAACATGACAAAGAACTCGGCTTTGATGATTTCCTTAAATTTTTTAAATAGCAAATTGCCGACAGCGTGTTCTATAAATAAATTATAACAAAAGAAGGGTCGGATGAAACTCATCAGGAGCAACGTGTACGTCG